TTCTTTCTTGCTCTCTCTTTCTCTCTCTCTCTCTCTCTCTCTCTCTCTCGCTCTCTCTCTCTCTCTCTCTCTCTCTCTCTCTCTCTGTTTCTCTGATTTCACTGCTCTGCCGCTTCCCCAGCATCTGCGATTGCGCTCCTGCCCAGCCGCCAGGAGGCGAACTTCCAGGAGTGTCAGAAAATCCCCGAAAAAGCCTGGGAGCTGCTTTGCGACGGCGCGTGGCCTGGTCTCCGAGTCGCCGAAGGCATCCCAGAGGAGCACCGGGAGCGGCTCTGCAGAGCTTCTCCGCATGTCGGAGCAGGTGGAGTGGGGGACATGCTACAGCTTATAACTTATAATGTCGTACGATGATTTTTTGCGGGATCAAGGGTGGGAGTCGAGCATTGAGGCCGATTTCCAGCTAAGCAGTTGTTGTTGCTCACATTGGGTTGAGGGGTGTAGGGGTTTAGNNGGTTTAGGGGGTTTAGGGCTTTGGGCTTAGGGTTTTGGGGTTTAGGAGTTTAGGGTGCAGCTTCTTAGGGGGTGAGATGAAGCGATGAGGAGGTGTAAATACTTTTGTGGGAGCATGCCTTCTAGAAGAGCAAGCAACGCCGCTTTTGAGAAACCCAAACGAGTATCAAGAATGCTTGCGTGTTTTGATTTGCATACATTGCACACGCGCGTGCGTGTATGTACTTATATGCATATGTATGTATGTGTGTATGTATATGTATGTATATATATATATACATATGTGTGTGTATATATATATATATGTAATGGATAGGGGGACAGGTGCGCCGTGGAACGTATTCATATTTAAATTGTACATCATGACACAGAAGCAGTCTGTGGATCGGCGCAGGCCATTCGGCGGCTTCCCTCGAGATGCAGGAGCTAGGCGCCCAGAAGATTGCAATGTACCCCACTCTGCTCCTAGGTTCTTCAGTGGCACACTGTCTTACTTTGTTGTTTCTGCGTTCGGATCGAAGTCTAACCAAGACAAAAAATGGTTACGCTTTTCTCAGTGGGTTGCTTAACAACCCTAAACCCTAAACCCTAGGATCACCTCCGTGATGATGCCCAGAGCAGCAGCGGAAGTGCAGATAGACCCTGGCCTGCTGCCAGCCCTAAGCCACTGCCACCTCGAGGACGCAACTATGACGGCGGTGGAAACAATTATGTACCAAGTTTAGGGTTTAGGGTTTAGGAATACTATCCCTTTTATTGCCGAATGAGTGAAAAGGATATCGGAAAACAACGGGCGAAATCAGGAAAACAATTTCGGAGACCAAGGAGGGCGATGTCGGAAAACGGCCGAGCCAGAGTCAGAAAGCAGCACAGACGAAATCAGAAAACATAACAGAATCGGAAAACAAGAATCAGAAAACCACAAACAAAATCAAAACACAGGAGAGAGAAAATCAGAAAACTGTCTGTTTTGGCCACAAATCGAGAGGCCGAGAGGTGAAGGAAGGCCGCGCTCCTAGCACCTGTTTGTTTTAATTGGCCACAAATCAAGAGGTGAAGGAAGGCTGCGGTCCTTTCACACCCCTCGGTTCTGGCCACAAACTGAGAAGCGAAGCCAGGCCGCGCTCCTTTCACCGCTCGGTTTTGCCACAAACCGAGAGGCGAAGGAAGGCCGCGCTCCTTTCACCCCCTCGGTCTTGGCCGCAAACGGAGAGATGAAGGAAGGCCGCGGTCCTTTCACCCGTAGGTTTTGTCGACAAACCGAGAGGTGAAGGAAGGCCGCGCTCCTTCACTCCTTGGTTTTTGCCCACAAACCGAGAGGTGAAGGAAGGTCGCGCTCCTTTCCCCCGTGGTTTTGGCCACAAATCGAAAGGTGAAGGAAGGCCGCGGTGCTTTCACCCCTCGGGTTTGGCCACAAAAAAAGAGGTGAGGGAAGATTGCGCTCCGCTCACCCCCTGGTTTTGACCACAAACCGAGAGGTGAAGGAAGGCCGCAGTCCTTTCACCCCTCGGTTTTGGCCACAAACCGAGAGGCGAAGGCAGGCTGCGCTCCTTTGACTCCTCGGTTTTGGCACAAACCGAGAGGTGAAGGAAGGCCGTGCTCCTTTCACCCCTCGGTTTTGGCCACAAACACAGAGGTGAAGGAAGGCAGCGGTCCTTTTACCCCTTGGTTTTGGCCACAAATCGACAGGTGAAGGAAGGCCGTGCTCCTTTCACCCCGTGGTTTTGGCTACAAGCCGGGCAATGCAGAGCAGCGCTTCTGTACAGAAGTGTGGTCTCCAACAACATGGGAATTCGCACGCGAGCTAGCCCGTCACGTTCTTGCGGTGTCCCTTTTGCCTTTCGTTTGTCCTGTTTTCTGATTTTCGACCGCCTTGTTTTCTGATCTGGTCCGTCACGTTTTCTGATATTGCCCGCCCTTTTTTCTGATTCGCCTGCGTCAGTTTTTTGATTTCGGCTTTCCGTTTTCCGGTTTTTGTTTTCTGATTTGGTCAGGTGTTTTCCGCAGTCGTCCGATCCGTTTTCGAATTTGTTTTCTGATATCGTCCGTACCCGAAGAAGGCTGCCGAATATAGTTAGTTATGCTGTAGATACCTCGAAGTCCAATTCCAAGTATCACGACAACACCATTGCTGACAGTGGTTGAAGAAAGAAGGAAAGAGAAAGACCCGAAAGTTTTAACCCGAAGCCCCAAGCCGTCAACGGGAGAGAGACACAACACCGAATCTGAAGGTTTTGGTATCTTTAGGTTCAGTGTTTAGGATTTAGGGGTTGTGCGTCCACAGGAGCTGAATTTGGATTGGTGCACAGCTGTCCCTGCCACGGTGTGGCAGAAACTTGGCCATGGCGTTGATTTTCAGCAGCTCACCAGGGCAAGCTTCGTAGAGTGCCTCAGAGAGCATAAAATACTCCAAATTCTGGGTTTAGCGTTGAGGGTGGTGCAGAGAGCACTTGGCGTTCTTCTGGTTCACCATCTCGAAATCTGCTTTTGCGAGGTGCTTCAACCACGAGTCCAAGGGCGCTGAGGGAGCCGGGGGGCTGCTCTCCGCCCTTCGCGCCTGCCGCAACCTGCAGGACCCGTGACCTGCGTAGCTTCCAGGATTTGGTTGGGATTTCGCACGCACAAAACCCTCAACCCTACACCCTCAACCCTAAACCCTCAACTCTAAACCCTCAACCCTCCACCCTAAACCCTATAAACTCTAAACCCTCAACTCTGAGCTCTAAACCCTAAACTGTAGCCTTGGGAAGGCTCGGGGTGGCCAGGAGTTGAACATGCGGGGCTGCTCCGAAGTCCCCGCAGCTGCTTGGCAGCTCCTGGCCACGGCCAGCTGGGAGCAGCTCAGGAAGGCAAACTTCTCTCGGTGCCTCGGGAGGGTTGTAGGGATGAGTATTTTGGGGTTTACCGTTTAGTATTGTTGGGGTTTAGGGTTTGGGGCTTAGGATGTTAGGGTTTAGGGTTTAGTATTTTAGGGTTAGGGTGTAGCATTTGAGGGTTTAGGGTTTAGGGGCTGCTTGGAGGATCACGGGACCAGTTCCTTTAGCCGCGAGAGCGCCCGGGTTCGTCAAGAGAGAAGGGGAAAGGGTGGGCTGGCTCGAAGGAGGGGAGACCGCCCACTGCACCGAAAGTTTGTATCCCAAACCCTAAACTCTAAACCCCAGGTGCCCAAAACCCTAAACTCTAAACCCTAAGCCCTGCACCCTAAACCCCAGGTGCTTCAACCGCAGTTCCAAGGGAGCCGAGGGTGCAGCGGGGCTGCTTGCGGCCCTGAGCCGATGCCAGCAGTTGCAGGACGCGATCACGCCTTCCCTCACCACGCCCCAGGGTTTAGGGTTCAGGGATTTAGGGTTTAGGGTTTAGGGATTTAGGGTTTAGGGTTTAGGGGTTTAGGGTTTAGGGTTTAGGGACGGTCCTTTTGAGCTTCTTGGGTCTGGGTTTAATGATCGAGTTTGGGGCCCCGCAAGCAAATGCCATGAAGAATTAGCTTCTCTCCACCTCTTTCCAGCTGCGACCCACAAGCCCTCAAATCTAAAGCCCTACCTTGAACTGCCAAAACCCGCCTTTTTCGTAGGGCCCTTATTCTGCCGGGGTTCGGTAGCAAAAAACTACCCAGAGAACCCAATACCGCTTAATTAAGGAAGATACCCTTAAATTATAGGGGCCTTATATATTATGATTTAAGGGTCTATTCCTTCATTAAGGGGTATTGAATTGGGTTCTCTGGGTAGGCCCATGGTAGTTTCAGGTCCAGGGTGTGCTTTAAACCCTAAACCCCTAAACCCTAAGAAACCCTAAACCCCTAAACCCTAAACCCTTAAAATCCAATTGATCGCCTTGTTGTTGGAGGCCCAGGCTCCCAACCGCGTCCCACCAAGACCCCGTCCCCTAGGTGCAGCGTGGATTCTCGGCCCTTAGGTGTTCTAGGGGATGTTTGGGCGTATGATTTAGGGTTTTTGTTTTGTGGATTTTTTGGGGGACCTAGGCCCTTCGCTTAAAGAGTAGAGTCGGCCAGGAGCTCATTCTGTCCCACTGTGAGCACATTTCCGTAACGGCATGGCAGCTGCTCGAGAAGGGGGTGGGCTGGGAGAAGCTCGAGAAGGTCAGCGTTTATGAGCAGCTCGGAAGGCAGTTGTGCCTAGTGTGGCATCTTCATGTCAGGAGCATGAGTGTTTCGTTGATGCGCAGTTTTGCCTTTGTTCGTCGGTGTGAGACTTGTGGATGTTATCGTTCGATCTGGGGGATACGGTAGCAGAAACAATGTAGCGATACCCGCCCGAGGTGGTCGTTTCAAAGAATCAGGGACCCTCCAATTATCGACCCAACAACTTCCCAAGGTATCCTTGATTTGTCAGGACGTCAAAGATAGAGTATCACATAGAGCCTGTAATTTTGGGAACTCCATAACCTCAACGTCGACTCGAACTGAGACTCATAGCAAAAAGCGAACCTAGGTCCTTCGGTGGTGGTGATTGCAAGGGCGCAGAGGGCGCGGCCACGCTTCTGAAGGTCCTTGGCAGCTGCCCCGAGCTGCAGGATTGGATTCAAATCGGCTGCATTCTGCACTTCGGGGTTTAGGGCTTTAGGGTTTAGGGTTCTAGGGTTTATAGGGTTTAGGGTTTAGGTTGTTTCGGCTGTAGGGTTTTAAGGCCTTTCCTTCCATTTTTCCCGATGATGGGCGAAGACCAGACGTCGCCAGGTCCTGGACATGGACGACTGCAATCAGATTCCGGCAACCGCCTGGCGCCAGCTCGAGAGCGCGAAGTGGACGAAGCTCCGAGACGTGAGATTACATGAGCTCCTCAGAAGGCATCTTTAGAGGGCCGGATCTTCATGGGGTTTAGGGTTTATAGGGTTTAGGGTTTATAGGGTTTAGGCCGGATCTTCATGGGGTTTAGGGCTTTGTAGGGTTTGGGGTTTAGGGTTTAGGGAGTTTAGGGATTCATGCGCATGATTGGGAGTTGAGTGTGAAGGTCAGAAATTGCCCGCTCTAAGCCTTCAGAAGATTCGAGAAGACTTTCTCGATGCTTCGCCATCCTCAAGAAATGGTGGGCGGTGCTGTCGTACCCTGTAAAACTCTCACAGAGCCCTTATAAATCCTTAAACCCTTAAGCCCAAACTAGTTCCAGCCCAGGTGCTTCAACGCCGATGCCAAAGGCACCGACGGCGTGGCCGAGCTTTTCACGGCGCTGGCCCGCTGCCCGGAGCTGAAGGAGGCAGCCAATGCCTTGCTCGGAGTGGTGGTTTGGGGTTTACCTATAGTCTCCATTGTAGTTCCTGTTTTTGGTTTAACCAATTTTAGGGTACCGGTTTGTTTTTCCTAGGTCCGCCCCAATTTTATATTAAGGATCCTAAAAAAGTAACCCCCAAAAGGAACTACAATGGAGACTATAGGTAGGTTCCGGAACATGCCAATGCTTGGGTACGATTCTTCCTTACGCAGCCTGTCGTAAACATCACAGTCACAGTGGCTCTGCGGCATGTTCCGTGACCTGCCACTGAACTTTAACGGGACTGTGGACGAACCAAGATCATGGACCACGGAGAGATCATAGCTCTGAGGAGAATGCTTATGGAATCCTTTAATCATCAACCACGTGGGACCTTTCGGGTCTTTGATCAGTAGACCTTTCAACCCGAAACCCTAAACGCATTCAAGCCTTCTAAGCCCCAATCGCTTTGCGTATGCAGTCTTACAGAACCACAAGCCTTAAATCTGCAACTTTGTGACTCCTGAAGCTTCAACCCTTCAGCTTCATCGATAAACCCTTAATAAAGTTGCCCGTTGCCAGGGGCAGGTCCAGAACCTCTGGCCAAAGCACCGCGCAGAACTCTGCCGCCGCCTGAAATAGCCTCCGCGAGTTCCTGGACCTATGTAAAGTTTCATGGGACTTAGAAACTAGGGTTATAAATAAGGTAACTATAGCTATAATTGCTTATAACCCCAATTAAGGTACATATAACTGTACTTACGAAGTCCCATGAACCTCCCAGTATCCTATCCCAGCGGGAGCGGTGTTGTTCGAAGGGTGAACAACGCCCGGGAACAAGATCATCGGACCGTTGAGCGACTGTTGCAAACGAGGAAAATCGCTGAATGTGGCCAAATTGCTTGCTGCAGGGCTTGCTTGTAGGTAATTATGGGCATGACGAAGACGGGAGACGCTTTCCCTAGCATTTCCGTGGACAGGATGGACCACCGCGAAGCGTTGAGCAGCACCGAGCCTGGCTTCGTGGACGAACTGCAGAGAAGCTCTCGGAGGCAACCCGATAGACCTTAATCCCTGAACCTTAACCCCTAAAGCCGGACCCTAAAAAGAACCTACCTTTCTTCCTTAAAAAGGTGGATGAAGGTAAAGCCTGAAACGCTTAAGCCCGGAGCCTCAATCTTTCAAGAAGCATTAGAGTCTGTCCCGACCCTAAGCCCTCCTTGCTCATCTTCGTGCGGCTTCTGGATCCGAAACCTCCACGTCTTAGTAACTTGTTGCGAAACCCCTAAACCCTGGATGTTGTGCTTTGCAAGAGAGTGAAGGTTTAACGGTTTGGGGCTCAGGGGTTTCCGGCTTTCGGCTTTTAGGGATTTAATGTTGAGGCTTTAGGGCTTCTGATCGTTTGCAGGGCTTCCGGCATAGTACTGCTTAGTCGCTGAGTAGGTAACCTTTAACCTTTTTGGGCTTATATAATCCTACCATAATTCAAAGGTTAACCTTGTTTGGGCTAGGGTACTCAGCCCCTAAGACTTTAAAACCCTAAACCCTAAACCCTTTAGTGCTTAGGGCAGAATCCGATTCTGAGGCACCTGCGGAACCGAGGAGATCGGAAGATAAGCCTTGATCTATCCAAAACTCCCCAGCCTTCAGGGCTTGCTATATCTGCGGCTTCCTTATTCATAGTCCTATCGCATAGTACTAACATGCCCCAAAATCTTATCCGAACTATGTGCAGTTTGCAGTTTTCCTCCGGCACTGTTTATAGGTCACTTTGCCGATCCTCTCGGGCCAACGATGGCAGTCTGACCAGTTGTACTTCGCGGAAAGCAGAGAGAAAGGTCTTTTTCCGAAATTGCTAAGCTGCTAAGCCTTGAGCCTCCTCATCCTACTAGCCATCGGCTCTCTTCTCCACTTTCACTATCATCATCACAGAAACAGTTGCTCCTGCTCCTCCTCCTCCCCCTCGCTGTCATCAGCAATTACTGTTCACTTCGTTTTGGAAGTATAGCCTCAGAGAGACTGCTGCGGGCCTCCTCGGCTGGCCCAGCGGTCGGCCGAGACTGGCGAACAAACGTGGTGGGTTCGACCTAAATGAAGCCTCTCTGTGGTAGTTTCGTGTCCATCAACTAAGCTAGATCCTCGTTTTTTTCCAGGAGCTTAGTTTGAGTTGTCAGCATGAAGAAACCATAATCTTTGCCATATGTCTCTACGACAGTACCGTGGACCAAGTAAAACTGACAGTGGGCACCCACGGGGCAAAGCAGTCAGAGCCCTATACCTCAGCTGCTGTTGGAAGGGGGGGGGGGACTTTCTGGGCTTATGTCAGGATTTTCAGCCCAAGAATACGCATCCACTTCTTTAGTGCCGCTTCAAGCATGACCCTAATCTCCTGAGCTCGAATATAAGAATCGTGATAGTTGCCCAGGTGCCCCAGGGTCGAGGGAAAACATGTCTTAGAGTCGTGGAGTCGTGCAGCACCGCAACAGCGCACCCTGTCTGGGTCCTGAGTCAGGAGCCCTGCGCCCTGAAACCTGTACCAAAACCCTGAATTAAATCCTTAAGCCCCAACCCTTTACCAACAAAGCCCAAAGCCTCGCCCCTAAACCTTGAAGGACCCTAAGCCCATGACTGAAAGACCACCCAAAATCCTTCCGCCGGTCGTGTCTTTGCTGTTTTACCTCAAGTGGGTTGCTGAAGTAGGCGCCCAAAGCAGAATGGCGCGGGCCCCTGGTAGGTCTTGCCTTTCAGGTGTTTTTTGCAGTGTCCCTTGGAGTTTTGGGGTTCAAGGTAATTATGTATTCGGGGCCATGTTGGGTTTGCGATCTCAGTTGAAATAAACCGTAACCAAAACCCAAAAATAACCTAGAGTCATTTTGGCTTTTGGGATTCAGTTGAGGGACCATTGGTTCTGATCTCTTCGCCCTTGCAACACCCCAGAAGTTCCGAAATCCCAGCCCTTAGCCCCAAATCCAGGACCCCGAAACCCCAAAAAGCCCAAACCTCGAGTCACTATTAAGGGCCTATTTATTTAGGGCTCAGGGTTTATAGGGCCTAAGCCCTATAAAGCCTATGAATCCTAAACCCTCAGACTCTAGTCACCATCATCCACCATCGAATGCTGAGGCCTCGCCAAGTGAACCATAATTCTGCGGGGCGTGGTATACGTCGGGAGCTCACCTGGCACTCGGGTCCGGGGGGTTCTTGGTCTTCAAACAGGGTTGTGAGCTTGTTGTTGGACTAGACGCTGCCTCCTAAGCCTGTTCTTGTGTGAAGCACCCAGTCTGTCTTCCACCTAGACGTCGCGACGGCTGTAGGCGCTCGCGTTGAACGCAGCATGCAACTCGTAGCATCGCAAGGTCCCCACAGACAGGGCCACCTATTTGGGACGGGTTTAGCGTTTAGGGTTTAGGGAGGTTCCGAGTTCGGAGAACTGGCAGCACCTGCAAGGATTGCAGCTGAGAGGTTGAAAGGATGGTGTTTCTGAGTGCTTGGCTCCAGAATCCTTAATCTGGGTTCTTGTTAAGGGGTTTGATTTAAGTTACCATAAAAGGGATCTATAGTACATAATATGGTTTCCTTATTATGGTAGCTTCAAATTAAATCCCTCAGCAAGAGCCCAGTAATCCCCCGAACCCGAACCCCGAAGCTCACTCTTGGGTTGAACCCTCCGCTCGGAACAAACTTTTGCTCGGTTTAGGGGTTTGGGGTTTAGGGCTGAGGGTTTAGGGGAGGACAGGGACAGAAAATCGTGTACCCAAGTCCGAAAGCCTGCAACCTGTAGACCTTGAGGCAAACCCGGCACTCCATGAGGCAAAGCCCAAATCTTCACCCGGGCTGCAAACAGCATTTCACTCTTTTCCTTCAGACTCCTCGTTTGAGCTAATATGCCCCACCCGAAGCCCTAAACCCTAAACCCAGTACCCTAAACCCCAAGCCCTAAACAGAACCCTATTCAAAGCATTAAGGCCACTGTGTTGCGCCCTAAGTCTGAACCCGACCCCACACCATCCTCAGCGTGCTGCGGCGACTGCTTGCCGGCTTCAGTTTTCAATCATGCGGGGTCATGCATGGACACGCGAAGCCTTCAAACCGAAGGCCAAGCAGCAAGAGTGTTCTCTATGGTATTTTGGGTGGATTTGAGGAGTCATGCGGCTTTTCAGAGGAAGTTCGCTGCTTTTTGGATCCTCCGGCTCTACAATCTACAATCTGGGATTCTGACACCTTCTAGAGGGGTCGGCATGATTAGCGTACGATAGTACTCTCTTACAGGCTGTATATCGTGATACGGTTATGCGATAGTATGCCCGGAAACCCTACTCCTGTCTGTCCCACTGTGTAGCTGGCGGCTGCGGTTCCTTGAAGGCAAACGAAGGCTGACAGCTGTACGCCGCCTGAATTCCCGACGAATCCTGAAGCCCCAGTCCCTCAACCTTAAAACTCATGAAAACCCTACGCAAATCCGTGGATTTCCAGACCTGCGCCATGAAATGGTGCAACTTGTCTTCGAGCTTGTACATCTTCTGGGATCCCGAGTGTGGAGGTGACTTGCAGGGGCCTGGATGGTTTCTGTCCTCCAGAGAACCCGATCCCTCGAGGTGCCCGCAATCTTTCATAAACTTGTGTTGCGCGGGAGGATGGGGTAGGGATGTTCCCTAAACCCTCAACTCTAAACTCTAAAGCCTAAACCCCTAAACCCTGTCAACTCTTGAAGGTTTGGGTGTTTGAGGTTTGGGTTCGAAGGCCGCTGAATCCCAGGACCCGGAATCTGCATGACGTCGCGGGCGGATGCTCCAACTGGGCGCACTGGAGAACCGCCACCCTCCAGGTCGCAGGGACACGAGGCCGGAGCTGTGGAGCAGACAACTGAGACCCTAAACCCTCAACCCTAAACCCTAAGCTCCGAAGAAGGTCCGCTACACCCGTAGTTTGACTCCGAACCCCGGAACCCCTACACTCCAATTCCTACACCCCGCAGACTCAAACCCTAAACCCTAAGCCCAAAGCCCTAAACCCTAGACCCTAAACCTAACCCCCAACTCCTTAAGACTGCGCTAGGCTGGAGTAGCTGGGACACCTGCTGCTCCTCCGCGCCTGGTCGAAGCTCCTCGGTATCC